AGACTGGTGGAGAAATCTGCAACAGATTCAGATGAGTTCGGATTTCTATGAATCCAAGCCACAGAGTTGGCTGCAGGTAGACTTTTCCCAAGTCATACAGATCCCTCAGACTTATGGGCTGATTTTGTTCCTACGTTTGCTTTCACTTTTGGGAATTTTATGTAAATTTAGTCATAGAAAAATAGGAAACATAAAAATATTCTGGCCAGAATTGTACATTCCCTCCCCCTAGAAAAAGCCTAGAGATATGCATTTTGGGAAGATTTGCATATTTTGGGGGGAATTCATGCATTTTCAGAAGTATGAAGTTGCAGAAATGCCCATAAAGGCATTTGTGCAAAATCCAGTTCCATCAGTGACTGGATAATGAAATGAAAGGTGCCTGAATATTTGTAAAATGTAGACCAGTATGGATTTAACAAACTCCATATATGCTTGCCATAGTGATTGTCCCATAGCTGCATTTGCAGTTCTCCCCACCCCCAGCTACAAGAACATCTTCATTAATTTGTTCTTGCACCTTAATTTCTGTGAAGGTACAACAGCCGAAGGGGAAAATGAGGACAAGGGTGTGGTTTCTGCTGCAAGAAATGGAAATGTGTTCAGCATTTAGAGAGGGTAGAGGCCATAGTTCTCATTTTTTCTGTCAAACCAACAAAAATATGTGAGCTGCTCCAGACAAAATGCTGTTTTTTGCGTGTGCTTCCATTTGCTGAAGCACAGCACTTGTTGGGGCAATCGTTATGCACAGATGAAGCAAGATAAACAGTGGAATTTATGCAGTCATGCCTTGTTATTCTTTGAGTGATACTGGAGATATATAAAATTTTAAGGGCCCTCCAGGCAATTGAAAAATTACCATTGCCTTTCTCCCAAAATGAAGTATGAACTCGCACACATCATACCTATTCATCATTGTAAAATGCTTGCTCTATTAAAGGTTAGCGTGCCGTTTGAAATAGTCTCCCTGCATTCTGTCTTTCCTACATCTTTTCTCCTGCCTCTTTGCTAATATGAGATTATTCTGGGGTTCACTACACTTAATTCAACTATATGTTTTATGTGTGTGGTTGAGCAACTTGTGGTTCTCCAGATGTTTTGTCCTACGTCTCCCATGATCCCCCAACAGAGCCCACAAGGCGCCCATCCTTGGTCTGCAACCTTGTGGGCTGTATGCAGCACTATGATTGTGTTGACTTTCTGAGGTATTTATGTTAGCAAAAGCAGGAGAAGAGTTCCCCTCTTGTCCACATAGCTCTCTCCACTTTCCAAGCTTGCTCCAAAGGGCTTGAAAACCATCTAGAGCAGATGTGTGGGCACTGCAGGGGTGAGGAGACGGGGGAAAGTCAAATCACATATGCTGCCAAATGCCTAAGAAAGGAGAAGACCTCTTAACCTGGCACCAAAAAGATAGTAATCTTGGCACCAGGAAGGCCTTATCAGGAGATCCTTCCATGATTAGGGGCCTCCACCAAGAAGGCCCTCCCCCGCTTTTTTTCCTCCCAGACTTCTCTCAGAGGAGACACCTGGAGGAAGGCTGTAGGAGATGAATGCAGTGTGTGTAAGGTAAATTCATGCCAGGAGAGGCATTCCTTCAGGTATTGCAGACCGGAACCTTGTAAGCCTCTATAGTTAAAGCCAGCACTTTGAATCGGCCTTGGGGAGAGTGGCCCTGTGGGATGCCACAGCTCGTAAGTGGCCCACAGATCATGGGGGCACAAGATGCTGTCAAGTGCACAGGCCCACATCCACTGGGCGTGATAGGACCTCTTTCTTTCCTGGAAAAGGAAAACGGTGAACATCAGATGCATGGATCATATCCCTGCTAATCACTACTGCATTTTGATAGTGGCAAAATCTCAAAGACATCCTGGGCAATGCCATGGTGCTGCTTGCAGGGCTTGCACTACTGGGGTATGACTGTACCAGCGGATTGCACAAAATCAGTGAAGCAAAATTGCACCGGTTTGTAGAAGGGTCACTATGCGTGGAGAATAGCCCACCGAAACAGCTCTCAAACAGTGTACCCTCTGCACAAAACCGTCAAGGAAGTCATGCATGAGGAAAGGAAAAGTGCTACGAAGTATGTGTGTGCGGGAGCTGCAGTGCCACCCTTAACCGGACTGCTTTTTGTCACCATGCAGGATGTTGTTTTTGGTATTAATTTGATATAATCCTTGTGACATTCAGGGTTTCACAGAGCAAACTTATGACAGAAACAGAGAAGATATCTATATTTCCAGCTGATACTTATCCATGAAATAGATACATTGCCATGATATTATGTCCTATAAATCTGTTTACAGTCCATGCAGCAGGGATGGGCAGGAGATAGATTTCCAGATGTTTTGGAGATCAGCTCACAGCATTCTTGACCATTAGCCATGCTTGCAGAAGATTCCAGGAGCTGAAGTCCAAAAAAACTGGATCACTGTCTTTTTTCCACTCCTACAATGCAGTATCGATTTTCACACAGAACCAAATAGCAGTTGCAGCAGCTTGTCACTTTGTTGCTAATATTATATATTTTATTTATTTCTATCCTGCCATTTTGCCAAAAATGGCACTCAGAGCAACTAATAGTAATAACATGAGGGTTAAAAATCAAATCTTAATGAAAATATGGCATTAAAAATCCATAAAACACAAGAGCAAAATAATATTAGGTCAAATCATTTTTCAGAGGCAGTATCTCACTTTAACTACATTTCCTAGCAAACCACACTCACATATAGATGGTATAAGATACATTATGTACATGCTCATCCCCCATTTTGTGGGGGGTGGTTTGGTCTATTCGGTTTAAGTTGTCTTAATTCTGTTAAGATCCTTATGACCGGTAATTGTGAGACTTTTTCTGTCTAAACTTGATTGGATTGTGCCCTTAGGGCCTTATAAGCACAGTTCTCTTAGAGAATATTATGACTTAAAAGTATAAATATTAACATTCATTTTTTAAAGAAGTAGATTTAAGTGAAAAGCCATATTGGGAATATCTAGGCATTAATCACTGCATTTCCATGGCAGGTCTGATGCTTTTAACCCAGAGCTTGAATTGCTCAAAAACCTGGTTTGAGCACCCTGCTACACACAAATAACTTCTGTTTTAAGATAAAACTGATATAATTGGAAGAGTGCAAAGCAGCCCATTTTCGGATATTAGCCAGTTCCTCTTACCCTCAACAATAGAGGGAAAAAATGAGTTTTAGGCAGAGCTAGTATGACCTTTTAAGCTCAGCTGTTTAGAAAACCAAAATTACACCATTCTTAATGCAGTCTGCTGGGATATTGAGCTTTTTCTTTTTAACCATTTTACCATCTCTTTCACTAGAAGGAGACAATGCCTCTCAAACATGCTAACTCAATCAGTATCATTGAGGTAAAAGGATAAAGGGGACAGGGGAGGAGCAAAAAAGTACCATGAGCGTGTCAACTGGTGGTCACACAAGTGTACCTCACATGTACAGAAAAACAGGGTTTTGGCTTCAAATACAGAACGAGCTGAGCAAAGTTCAGCTTTAAAGTTCAACTTTAACTGCTGGAGGACTACATTCATTCAGCAGAAGCCAGAACCTTTACAGCAGCTGTAACAGAAAAAAATTCCAGCTTACCACTACTTTGAATTTGGGAAGACAGAAAGATCTGAAGAATAGGCAAGATGAACCCTTACACCACAGGCTGAACTGTATGTCATCATCACAGTTGCCTTCCTTCACTTGCACAGGGATTGCTTTCTGAGGCTGTACCCACAAAAACTAATGTGGAGGGAGAAAAGCCCACTCTTGCAGGTGACCCTCTTTTAAAAAACTGGCCAGTGATTCCTCAGTAGCATCCCCCAGTGGGAGGCAAGCAAGCTTCTCCAAAAGAAAGCTTGTCCGTCCCTCCTGGTCTTCCCTTACAACGAACAGGCAGTGGGGAATGCTGGGTGTATTTTAGGACTGACCACAGCACACGGCAGACAGTGAGAAGGACCAGAAGGGCTCCTTGAGAATTGATTGCTTCTCACTACATTACCCCAGAATCCTCTGAAACAAAGTGGCATGCGTACTGTTTCAGCATAGGAAATTAGAAAACCAGGGCAACGTGTGCAGCTGTGGGGCAGCTATGGATGCTTCCAAAGAATTGAAAATGGAATACTTTCCAATCAATAGAATATGTGCAAATAATTGAAAGTGAAATATGTTCAAATGATCGGAATGCTTCCAAATAAATGAAGTTGGAAAATCATTTTAACTGTTGGATATCGAACTGCAGGGAAATTGCCACTGTCAGTGGATTTTTATATACCATCCCATTCCCAAAGGCTCTGGACAGTTTACAGGACATTAAAACAACAGTAGTTAAAATGTCAACTAAAAACACGCATATTAGATAAAACTAAGCTGGGAACTAATCTAGGGAGGTCTGTTGAAACAGCTATGTCTTTAACGCCCTCTTCAAGGTAGCAGTCCGGGATATCTAACGCCTCTCTCCCAGCAGGCCATTCCACAGGTTAGGACTGAGAAAGTCGCCTGGGTAGTATACATTAACCGCATGGAAGATTATCCACAGAACACCTTAGCTGGCGAGGCAGAATGTATGGGCACAAGCTCCCCTGAGGGTATTTGGACCCAAGTCATGAAGGACTTTAAAGCTAATTCCCAACACCTTGTTCTGCATCCAGAAAACATATTGGCAGCCACTGCAGAGGCTTTAGTAGTGGTGCTGTGTGGTCTCTCCCTGTTGACCCAGAGACCAACCTGATGGCCATATTTTGTACTAGTTGCAGTTTCCAGAGTAGGAACAAGGGTAGCCTCATGTACAGCACATTGCAGAAATGTGATTGGGGTAAGTTTAGCTGACACCTAATACGCATTCCTGGAAAAATTTAACAAAATGCCCCACCCTTTTCTGCACCCACAAATGGAGCTCAAATATTCCCTTTCCCTGTTGCTCGAGGAATGCAGATGGTCAGTCATGGGCAATGATGTTATTTATGACAGTATTGGTGTTATTTCCAGTTGCAGGCTGAACTTGATCAAGAATATCAAGACAAATTCAAAAGACTCCCATTGGAAATTCTGGAATTTGTTCAAGAAGCCATGAAAGGCAAAATTAGTGAAGATGGAGACCACAGCTCTACCACTTCTTCCCTGGCATCTGAAGGAGGAAAACTGAACCATAAACCACAGCAAAATGAAGATCCAGAAGATACTCCAGCAAAAGTGTTTGATACACCACTCTAGCAACTCCTGCAAGGTCACGCCCCTAAATTCTAGTGGCAAAGCAAGTTACCACCCAGTTCCCCAGATAGTCTCTTCTTTGTGAATGGCCACTGGGCAGCTTCAGATTTGGAAGCCATCTGAAGGGATGGTACATGTTTCTGAAAGGAGCAGCTGGTGAGGAAATTTGGTGTTACTTTTAGACCTTTGTGTGACCTGCTTTATGGAATAGATTCTTAGTTCAGTGCTGCCCTTTCTCTGGTCAGTTTTGCATGGTAGTTCTCAAGTCTGAAGCTTTCTGTGGGGAACAGCGTGTTTTGTGCAAGTAAATGTGCATAGACCTCCATGTGACGCAGCAGTGAAAACATATTCCAAACCCAATTTTCCCAGCATCTTTAATTCTTTGTTTCCTCGTTGGTAACTGCACCTTGAAAACGTGTATCATCTTAATAATTGCACTGATTTTTTTTAAATAAAAGTGTCATTTTTTCCGCTTTGCAAGCAGCAGCAGTTTGCTCTTTGGACAATGTATCACAAAAACCATCTGCCTTGAGATGGTCTGCTAAAACCTCATTCACTAGAAAATTAAGATCTCTTCAAGATAGAGAACGGTGTTTGCCTATGGATCACCAGTGATGGGAGGCCACTCACGCTGAGGTGTACAGGCACACATACGTACATATCCCTGTGCTGAAGGAGAGCAAGCAGGTTCCTGCTGAGCCACACTTTGTGGCAAAATGAAAAATTCCAGGGTTCAGGGTTAATATTTCTAGATCAGTGATAACAGCTGCTTGCATTGCAAATCAGTCATTAAATCACAAGAATCACTCACTTATTTTTAAATGCACATATGTGGGTTCGAGAGTATCATTTTCAATTATTATGTTTGCATTGCAACAAGTTTTAATGACAACTATATTATTGAAATGTTTTAAATGTTAGTATCTGACATGCGGACATCTCTTCCATAGTTTTAAAATATATGGTCTGCATGTAAGAAATGCCATTTCCAGAATGTATATAAAACATGGCCATTTCAGAGCTGGAAAGTTTGTGGAAAGGAAAAAGAGTACTCAGTCAGAAGTTTGCAGAGAATGAGCACTTGTGTCATGCTGATTCTGCAGTTTAATACAGTTAACCTTAGGAAGGTTACAGCCCCTCTTGAGCTCAACAGAACTACTTCCTGGATAATATCAAAACACTAAATTTTGTTCTGATAATAGTAAAGACTTTTAATACATAACAGCATATATGTAGTTTGCTTTCCCTCAGGAGCTCAGTAGATATAACTTATTTTATTTAAATGTAAGCAATAAATAGAGATCAAACTTAAGTTTCAAGTTAAATGCTAAGTGTACATAGGGAAATTAAAACTTTGGCTGAACAGTGTTTCCCCCTTAATTTACAGTCTGCACAGAGAAGAGTTACACACTGTTGGAAGAGTATCTAAAAGATAAAACATACTCTGCTTACAATGTGTGGAATAATTTAGAAGATGTAACTCTAAACTGAGACTTTCATTTTGATTTGAAGAACATGACTCCTGTCATTTATTCTACTTTTGCACTTTGATGATCAATATTATTAATCAAGAAATACAAAAACCTGGAAGGGTCAAAGTTTAATGCTGCATTTTATAAGATAAAGGTTAGATAAACTTGTTTTATGTTAGATAGGATACAATATCTAGCAGTATTCACAAAAATTATTATACTTTCTTTGACATGCCTGTATAGTGCTGCTTCAAATAGATTAGAAGAAATACTGATGAACTTTTTAATTTATGAAATAAAAGTGAATGGTTTGATAGAGTATATTCTCAGCTGTAGTTTTCAGTACATTTGTATTTGACCATTGCCTGTACTTACTTTTTTTTAATATCTGTACAGTGCCCTTTTTGCAGTTGTAGTTTAGTGTGGAATATTGTATATCTTGCATTGTTCAAACTTACAGTGATATATCATTGATCATTAATATTACTTGAAATAAAGTAAGGTCATGAAAAAGGAGTCGATGATGTGAGAGTCTTGTGCCTTTTATGTATTTGCCTTGTTGCGTGTTGAACATGTGGAAATAATATACTGTGGGCATTTCTGCTTTAGAGAATAGAGCTACATTATATTACACTGAACTCCATTGTACACTTCAGATGTCTTCACACTACTGAGAGTCTTTTTTCTTTTATTATTTTAAGATGCATTTTAGCTCAAGAACAGCAGGCATTTTGAATCTAACATGGTTGTAAGAGACCTAAAGGGACGTGGCTTGCCTTCCTTTGAAACTAATGTTGCTCTTGTACATTGGTATAAACACTGTTTGTGATTGGCTGATTGGAAATAGTGATTTGCTTTAAATAAGGAGAGAAAACGTACATTTAACATGTATATAATTTGGTTTCTCAGCCTTTTAGATGCATAATTCACATTTTTGTAAGAATCCTATGCAATTTTGTGGCATGATGTTTCTTTCACTTGTAATTTATGTGCTTTCATCACAGATCCAAATAAAATTTCTTAATGCTATCTGTATTTTCTCTCTTAATTGACCAGCTTCCAAGCATCTCTCTGTTTGGAAAGCTCCCTGTCCAGTACAAAGTGATCAGGGAAGAGTTTGGTGTATTCCAAAGTGCATTCTCAGTTCAGGTGGAGGTAGCAATGCAGCACCACGGGCCTTGGCACTGCACCTCATAGATTTCAGTATGCAATGCAACACATTGCAGCACCTTTTGCAAGACAAATTAGAACCATGATAATCGTTCAGGGGGTCCTCAGCAGGCAAAACTGATGTGGAAAGGGTTCTCAGGAAGGAAAGGGTGATATCCAATGTGCTCTCATGCCAGTAATCCCCACTGCTAGCACAATGGGGAGCTCACTGTTCACAAAGCAACTGGAAATTAGACATGCTCATTTCTGGAACGGGACATTCCTGTTCCAATCCAAAAATGAGTGTTTCTAGAATTCAAAAATGAGGCTTGTCATTCAATTAAAAAAATGAGGTTTCCCATTGTGCCAGCCCTGCATCCCACAGGAACAACAATGTGTGAAAACACAGTGCAGTATTGGATTTTGCCCAGAAGGTTTAAAATCCACAGAGACATGAAAGGCACAGTCAGTCAAAACTTTTCCCATGGCTTCACTTTCACCTTAAGTACTGACTGAGGTTATAGTATGAAGTCTGTTCATTAGAAATGTTGCCAAATACAGCTGAGGGACATTCTCAGGATGAGCTTCAGCTTTGCTCGAAGGCAAAGACATAAAACTGGCCAAGCTTTTAGATGTTCACACCACAATTTGGCAAGAGCTAGCTTTCAATGTTTGCAAGTGGGTAGATTCCAAATGGTTGCAGGGAGTAATAGCTGAAGACGCAGACTGGAGGAAGAGACCAAAGAGCTGTCTGGTCCACTCTTCTGCTTCTAGCAGTGGCAAGCCAGATGCATCTGTGCACCTGCAACCAGGACTTGATAGCAATCGATTATTTGCCTCTGCCTGCTATCAGCTGGCCTTGAGAGGCAAACTACTTCTCTGGCTGGAGGTTCTATTTAGTCATTGTAGCTCCTGTCCTCTATGCATGTGTCCAATCCCTTTTCTGAACCATCTCTGCCAATTTCCATAACTGCGCCTTATGTCAAAGAATGGGTTGTTCTTTTAACTAGCCTGGGTACCTGCATGCTATGACAAAATCAAAGAATAACCTCTGTTGTATGCTGTGATCTCAAGATAGACTGGTCTTTCCCTGTGCTGGCTATGTTTTAATCTCCTAGGATAGGCCTTATGGCTACATAATGGAAGCAAGTGTTTTCATTTATGCATTTTATTCTTCTTCATCTTTTAATCTGATATACTGCCTAGACACAGAACACAAACATCCAAGCACTTTCCAGTATAACTGGATTACCTCTGGAGAAAACATAGCAACACTAGAATATATTTGATAGATAGAATTGATAGAATGGATGCAATCATGCTATTCAGTTGCTGCACCGATAAAGGACCAGTAAGGTACTGGCATAAATTCTCAGTTAGAACTGAGAGTACAAGGATGTGCACCTGAAGTTTATGCCCTTGCGCAGGCACAAGACAACCATGATCTCTGTGTGTGTCTAAAAAGGTCCTAGTTACATTGTCACCCTTGGCCATTTCCAAAAAGGAACAATTCTTTATTGTACCTTGTTCTCGGGTGTGTTGCGATACCATGGCATGAATTTTGCACCACAGGACCCAAGATCCTCTGAGGAGCTCTCATAAATCATCACTTTTTGCATTACAACACGTGATGCTCAGCTGAACGAGTAGTGAGGTTGCTGTTTTAGATGGTTAAAAGAAGAGTTAGATTAACTCTTGAATCTGTTGTTTGTTACTCAAACTCTGAGTTAAGGAGAGTTTATACTGATTAATATCAACCCCCTCTCACCATACTTGCTTTGCTGTCTCTGGAACATTATAACCCTTGCCTAATGAGCAGACGGTGCAGTCCTTGGCATGTTTATTAAGATGTAAGTCCCACTGAGTTCAATGAAACTGACATCCAGGTAAATCTGTGTATCAGATTTTAGCCTTCATGTATCTTTATGTTCATCTTCATGTCTTTACCATTAGTATCAATCCAAAGCATTCCTATTTTGTCAGCCTTTCAAATTATTTAGTAGGGTCTATTATTCTGAAGATGTGGTACTTGATTTTAATTTATGTTGGCATTTAATTAGTTGTGCTTTGCCATTTTCTTGGTGTTTTTTCTCTGGGTGTTTTCCTCTGACATGTATAAATTGCCTTAAATTCCATTTCAGCTAGAAAGGTGCAGCAGAAATGCAATAAGCACAAATATGAGTCAGATGAGTTCTTGCTTGAGTGTGCACATTTAATGAATAATCTTTTCAGCTCAGTTCCAGACTACTCAACTACAAGTTCATTTACCATTGTTCCCCTGGGGATGTATTTGCTGTGTGCAAGCCATTTGCGCGGCTGACAATCAGCAGGCCCAAAGAACAAAGAAAAAATGGCACTCCTCTTCCACAGCGCCTGAGTTGTCAGGCCTCATCTGCAGGCTTCAGTGATCCTCTCTGTTTGTGGGAGTGGGGAGGGGAGCCCTGCATATATTACTCTGAATAAATACCAGGCCTGGTCTTCAGCTTTTTCCCAAACACCTGTTCCTTTTGACAAGTTCTCCTGTCAAGTTATCTGAGTGACCTGTAAATTACATTTGAAGACACATTGTTTTCCCAGTTTATTTAGGCCTTGCATTGGAAAACAAGGCAGTCCCGGAGATCTTTGTCTGCACTGAAGTTCTTTCCCAGAAAGATATTGTTGCTTAGGTTTGCAGAACAGGAAGAAGCCTGTATTTCCATGGTTTAAAGTGTACATATTTGCAGCTCACTTGCTTTGAAAGGCAGCAGATGGGACAGAATCCATCACTGACCAACCTTTTTATTGTGTTTACTGTAAAGGGCACACCTCTGGAGCAATGTCTGAATCACAGACTATTAGTAAAAGCAAGATAACTGATATCCCAGGCGAAAGGTGAGTCCAGGCAATTTCCCTTCATAAATTAAAAGAGACAGGCAGGGGTGGTTTAAGGTTGTGATCACAGGTAAGGTGAATCCCAGTTCTTATTTTTAAACTCTGCAACAGGGTAAAAATGGTACAGTCCTTTCCTCAGAGCTCTTTGGATTTCCTAGCATGTTTGTATTAAGAGGACTGAAACTAAAATCTCATAAAGACTATACAACTACTTGAATTATCCATAATTTGTGATTTTATTGTCAGGAGCTTCGCTTTAATTATCTAGCTGCAATATTACTCTCTATGCAGGACATAATTCCCATGTAATAATTTGCTTTGCATCCCATAAAAGTGCACTTATTGCCTCATTAACAGTTTGAGACATTAAGGGCACAATCCTGTGCATGAATATGTCTACATATGCACAGGATTGCACCTGAATGTCTCAAGTCCCACAGCACATTCATGTTGATGCACTTTTGGGTAAAACTATGCAGCAACTATGCTAAAACCATGCTTGATCTTTGTTGGCAGTGTGGTGTGTGGTACTTTAATTTCATTTTAGGGTTCCATTATTCCCAGTGAGAATAACTACAGCACCCATTTATTAGAGCACTGAGTGGTAGTCAGGCGCCATTTGGACCTCCCCCTCCACCCCATCACCTCCAAGTGCTCTCAGTAAATAACATAGGGACATCTCTTCTGCTCCCCATGTGCTCCTAGGACCCACCACTAGCACAATGGGAAGCCAGGGGGGTTCTTTAGCAAAGACAAGGTGGGGGAATGACTCATGCCTGGAGTGAGGCAGGGTAGCAGTTTGCAGAAGGAATGCTTTTGGGCATGGGGCCTCGGTGGAGCATGAGCTGTGAGTCCTACTAGTCAAGCAACAAGAGCAGAAGCACAGAAGCACAATGGAATCCCACCCATCATGCATGGGATGTCGACAAGACTGGGGTGTTGTACAGTTTAGCATGCCCTATTTGAGTATGATAAATTCATGGATAACCATGAGTGCCAATTCACTAGAAAGGCCCAACTATTTTAATGGCATGCAGTGGTAACACCTTACAGCCTCAGGAAATGCAAATCATTGTAGTATCCATAAACATCATTTGTGACTAGCTGGCCATCACGCTAGCTCTCAGCACAACGCTGCAATGCAATGAAGCATTCTTAGAATTATGCATATATGCAGAGCTGGATTTTCTAGGCTTCTGGCATAAAGATGGCATAAGACAATCCAGAGGCAGGTCATACAGCCTGGACTCTTGCAATACAAGTTCCAACAGGGATGGACAGCAGGGTGGCAAAACCCTTGAGCCCTAACCCTAACCCTGCCCTCCACTTCAGGGCTGCTGCCCTCCCAGTTTAGGCTTGCAGGCAAGGAACCCAGAAGCCGCTCCAGCTCGCTTGCAAGGAACAGGCTGCGGGGTGTGAAGGCTCGCAGCAAGAAAGCGTTGCAGCATTCCAGTTAACCAGCAGGACATTCTGCTAACAGGCCTCCTGTTTGCCTCTGCAAATCACTACCCTAAATGTGAAAAGCGAAAGGCATGACCTAGTTTGCCCACTGCTCTTAGACAACATGAAATAATAGGCTCTGGTGTCCATTCCTGTGGGGGGCGGGGGAGGGGGGGACCCTTTGCTTTTGCCCTCATACATTGTCAAAAGTGGGTTTAACTCCTGGACCAGTGCTCCAACTGGATGGGAGCCAGCAGCCACCACCCTTTCCACATTTAAAGGACAACCAAGGGCCGTGGCTGTGCCCAAGGCAGGAAACCCTGCATTTGCAAGCGGGGGAGAGTCCGAAAGATGGTTAAGAAATGTCTGCCTGAGCTGGAACGCAAAGGGCACCTTCCCATGAATGTGGCTGGCGAGAGATGGGCACAGAGCCAGCGTGGCTCTCTCCTTTGGGTACTAGGTGCCGTGGAAGGGCCGTGGGCCAGTTGCTGTCCTCCAGGCGGGCCGCATCAGTGTGAGGTCACAACACCATTCTGTCTGCCACAGAGAGGATCTTCCCCCTTTCTCTT